ATCTGCTTGATGCATGAACGTCTCCAACCCTTCCAGAAATTCGTTCGTCACCCTCCCGTTATTATCTCTGTGTGAATACATCCACTGCCGCAACTCGAAAATATTTCCCGGACCGGACATTTTTTTGTGTTTGATCAAGCTTATAGCTGTTTTTTTTGGTGTGTTTCAAATGAATCACATAAGGTGGTATTTATAGAAATTTTTGAATCTGAGCATTTACTAGGAAATTGCTAGGAAAAGTAGGTACAAAACATGTGTTTTATTTAAATTCGATATTTCCTATCTATTTCCTCCTAGTTTCGTAGTAAGAAACTATTTCCTCCTAATTTCGTAGTAATATTTTACTACGCCTTTACGAGGAAAGAGTTTACTACGACATTACGAGGAAAAGTACTTTTTCTTCGTAATCTCCTCGTAAATTTACTAAGGTCTTACGAGGAAAGTATTTCCTCGGAAGTTTTCGAGGATCTTACGAGGCTTTCCTCGTAAGATCCTAGTAAAGGCTTAGTAACTTTACGAGAAAGAATTTTCCTAGTAAAATTTCCTAGTAAATGCTTTGTTTTCTTGTAGTGTACGGTAGAAACGCCAAACGCAATTCTTCGTAATTTGTGCGCCAAGCAGGAAAAGCGATTTTCGGATGGAGTAAAGTCAACACTCTGTTGGAAATGGAAGTAGGATCAATCATGTGTAAAAGACAAAAAATATTTGGAGAAATTAACGTAAGTGGGAACAATGAGAGAATGCATTAAAATATTAAATGGTTGAGGGCAACAGCTCACCCGGAATTTAAGCCTTAATTATGTTAAATATGTTCTTTAATTTGAAATTTAATTATTTTTATTAGTGATTTACATTAAGCTTTAAAAAAACCATATTTTGGCAAACTAGAATAAAAATAAAAGAATTGATCCTAAATCGACCTAATTTTTATAATTAGCATATTATATAAATCATATATTTATTAATATCTTAAAATATCAATTTTATTAATTAAATAGTATTTATTTATTTAAAAGGCGTATTTTACACATGCTACAATTACATTGTTTAATTATATATATTATAAAACAATTAGAATCCTTAAGTTGCACGGCACATTGTGGGGGCACATGGAAGTCGTTTGATTGGTAGAGTGAAGTTTGGAGTCTACATGCACTATTATATATCAATATTAGCACATCATTCACGTTGATGGGAATCCCCTCCTTAGGATCGTGGCTAGACAAAATCTGAGAGTTGTAAGATTAATTCTAGGGTTTGTGAGAGAAGAAATGGATGATGTGATTAGTTTGGGGGGAGGTTCTGTTGCAGGAGCTGTGGTATCTGAGCTCTTGAAACTCGTGATTGAAGAGGCTAATAGGGTGTTGGCGTTCAGATCTGTGTTGATGGAGCTCGCATCGAAGATGAATAAAGTGCGTTTGGCATTCATAGAGATCGAAACGTTGCAAGGTGCTGAAGAGCTAAAGGATCTGGAGAATATAATCAATGAAGCTCGCGTACTTGTTCGGAAGTGTTCACAAGTCAAGCGGTGGAACCTATCTGCAAAAGCTAAATATACAAGAAAAATAGAGGAAATCAACAAGAAGCTGCTCGAGTTCTGTCAGGTTCAACTTCAGCTTATTATGCTTCGGAACCAACGGCTGATGATGCTTAAAATGGGAATTTGTGAACAGTCGTCGTCGGATTACGACGAAGAGCTGTCTCCCAGGCCGTATGACAATCTGCCCAAGGATAAGTTGATGGCCATTCGGAGTCATCTCGAAAGCATCGAAAAGGAACTCGACGTTTCGAGTGTTTTTTCGCTTGTTTTTAGGGATCTATGTTCCGTCCCCAAGATTGATAAGCTTTTCTTTGGATTGGATTCTCCGCTCATGGAGGTAAAAAAGAAGATCCTTGATGATGATGCAGTGGCTAGTCTCGTGGTCTCTGCTCCTCCTGGGTGCGGGAAAACCACGTTGGTTACTCAGCTTTGTCATGATGACCATATCAAAGGTACTACAAAGTTTTTCTCTCTTTACTCTTTTTGAATTTGTATTTCTGGTTTCTCATCATGTTAATTCGCAGATGAGTTCGAGTATATCTTCTTTTGCAATCTTTCAAAGGTTCCTACCTTCAAGACCATAGTACAGACTTTACTACACCACAACGGTTACGAAGCACCAACATTTGAGAACGATTCTCAAGCAGTTGATGGCTTAAGAAACCTGCTTGAGGAACTTGAAGAAGATGGTCCTATATTGTTGGTGCTGGATGATGTTCCCCAAGATGCAGAGTCTTTGCTTCAGAAATTTCAGATTAACATACCCAATTTCAAGATCTTGGTGACTTCTCGGTTTGAGTTTCCGAGTTTTGGTCCCACTTATCATTTGAAACCTTTGGGATATGAAGATTCCAAGTCCCTTCTCATTGAGCGGGCATCTCTGTTTTTTTTCAGGAGTGCATTTGAGGATAAACAAGATCTTTTACATAAAGTATAACAACGACAATTCTCTTATTCAAGATTCTACCTTCAAGTTTTAAAGCCTCAGTTATCATTTAATTCACTTCTTTTCACATGGTTGCAGATTTTGAAACGTTGCTATGGATTTCCACTCTTGATTGAAGCAATCGGCGTTCAACTTGTACGAAAAGCTTTTGATTGGGAGTCAGACGAAGAGGAAACAATTCTTCATAGTCCTCAACCTACTGTGCTAGAATGTCTGCAGCCTAGCTTTAATGTCTTGAAACCCCATCTTAAAGACTGTTTCTTGGACATGAGCTCATTTCTTACACAAGGAAAGATACGTGCTTCCACTATAATTGACATATGGATGGAATTATACAGTGAAGATAGTGAACGTAGTAACGTTAATTACGTGTGGCACCTCAATGACCTGGCTTCCCATAATCTTGTTAAACTTGATACACTCGGGTATGATGTTTTTTTGCGGCAGCACTGTTTTTCTCACTTTCTTGTAATATGATGAACTTGTTTATTTACTTGCCAGGACGGAATAAACATGACAACATTAATTTTTTTGTTTGTCATTACAGATCGTTAGTAGCTGTCACTGAGCGTAAACTTATTCCTCTGGGGTATGGTTACGAAGACGATTTCATCAATAATTTCTTAGTCACTCAACATAGTATTCTGAGGGAGTTGGCTATCAGCCAAAGCAAATCAGAGGATCACCATGAAAGAAAAAGGCTCAACCTGGAGATAAGAGAGGATACATTTCCAGATTGGTGTTTGGATCTAATGCAGCCTATAAATGCTCGTCTTTTGTCTATCTCTACGGGTAACTTTTTCATCTTCTCTTTTTTTTTTCTTCTGAAAATTGAATAATATAGATTTTTATCAACTCTTAAAAAGATGAGAAATCTGAGGAAATCCCAATTTTCTAGGGTTTTCTTTTACTAAATTGGAGGGGGGGGGATAAGAAAAACCTAGAAAAAGGATGGTAAATAATTAATGAGGGTGATTAGTTAGAATTTATTTCCTTAACTTTAGCTTTATTTATATTTAAAAACACTAAACTTTATTAATCATGTTGTAGCTTTATTTTTGTTAGTCAAAACCTACAACAAATTTCTATTAACTTGTACCAATCATGCTTTAACTTTATTTTTATAGCTACAGTAAAAAAATTTAAAACAAAATTTATTTTTATGTATTTTAGACAAAACATCTATATCTTTGTTTTATATGTTGTCGACGCTGTAAAATGAAAAAAAAAAATCTATAATATCAAATTAATTAAAAATCATAATATAAATATCTTTCCATATTTTAATTTAGTTCTGGGTGTTTTCAAAATTATTCAAATATTTTAAATAACATAAAATATTATTTACATATCACACTTTTAATAACAACAAACTTTGATATTTTATAAAAATTATTAATACAAATTATTTTAGTTTATAAAAATAACCATTTTACGTATACATCATATATATTATTTTGAAATATCTACAACATGTACTTTACAGCTACAACAAATTTAACTACAACAAAAGTTTCTGCAATGAAATTTACACCAACAATTTTATCAACTTATCTACAATTAAATTTTTACAGCCACAGTCGAAACAATCATCACCGATAACATTGATTTCAGTTCTCAAACTTGCTGATTTGTTAAAAATTTCTTAAAAAAATTATAACTAATATATGTTTTATCCGATTTATACTTCACACCTTGCGAGGTGAATTATCACTGAACAATTTCTAACTAAACAACTTGTTCAATAAACAAGAAAGACAGGGAAGCAAAATTTTAAAGTTTAATCAATATATAAAACTAAAATCATATATTCTTTACCGTCAGAAAATAACTAAAAATATATGGATTTAAAAATAAATTTTTTTTAATCTTTTTGTCAAAACTATTTTAAATTAATAAATATATAATTAAAAATGTATTTATTCATAATATTATTAGTTTAGAGAGTTTCCACTGTTTTTGGTAGGACTGGATATTATCCGATACCTGAATTCGAACCCGAATCCGATTCGAAAAATTCAAACCGAAGTAGCAAAATATCCGAATGAGTATTGAGTTAGACGAGATTGGATATTCGAATCCGAACGAGTAATATCCAAATTCGAATGAATATGCGAAGATAGCTGAACATATGTATATCTAACTTTATATTTTTAGTTTACTTCACTCATCTTAATCAAAATATTTACACTAATTAATATTATACATGGTTGAAAATCATATAATATAATATAATTGTGAATAAATTGATTATCTATTCATTTCAAATGCATGCCAAATTTTTTATTTCATGCATTAACAAAAGTTGTATTCGAATCTTCACAACATCAATTAAATTAGTGTTTTTCAATTTTCAAAATTTTGTTTGCAAACTTATAAATCATTTAACCTATTAAAATTAATTTAACTATATTTTTTTAATATAAGAAACTTGAATAGTGAAAAATTAGTTTTTTTTTTCAAAATCTTAAAATATCTGAATCTGAATCGAAATAACTAAAACCGAAATAAAAATATCCGAACCCGATCTGATATGTTAAAGTACCCGAACCGTTTCTCAACCCTTACACGAATATGTAAAATCTGAAATACCCGATCCAAATCCAAATGGGTACCCAAACACCAATCTCTAGTTTATGCCTTTCTTTTTACTCTGATAAGGTCGTTAAGTATTTATTTTTATATACTCCTTCTAAAAATACGACTTTCTTTCTCCGTTTTCCTTTGTTCCAGATGATTTTTTCTCATCGACTTGGGTTGAAATGGATTTCCCCAATGTTGAGGCGTTAGTTCTTAATGTCTCCTCACCAACCTACGCGTTACCAAACTTCATTGCTACAATGAAAAAACTGAAGGTTGTGATTATAATAAATCACGGTCTTGGTCCAGCAAAACTGACCAACTTGTCGTGTCTCAGCTCATTACCCAACTTAAAACGGATCATATTTGAAAAAATTTCAATCACTTTGCTGGACGTTCTCCTTTCACGACTCGGCAGTCTCGAGAAGCTATCTATGTTCATGTGCAGTTTCCGTGACCGTGAGGTTTCCTACAATACAAAAGAGATAGCCATCCCTGAAGCTCTACCAAAGTTACAGGAGCTTATCATAGATTCTTGCTATGATCTAGATGAGTTGCCGGATTGGGTCTCTGAAGTTGTTTCATTGAAGAAACTTAGCATCACAAACTGTGGGAAGCTCTCTCTACTTCCAAAGGGTATAGGTAACTTGAGTAATCTTCAAGTGTTGAGGTTGTGTTCCTGTATTAGTCTCTATGAACTGCCTGAATCGACTGATAGGCTCAGCGATTTACGGTTTCTGGATATTTCTGATTGCTTAGCATTGAAAAAGTTGCCTTCAGAGATTGAGAAGTTGCAGAAGTTGGAAAAAATCTTGATGAGGAAGTGTCTGGGATGCGAAATACCAGATTCACTGAGGTATTCAGAGAATTTGGAGGTTGAATATGATAGAGAGACTGAACTATTTTAGGAAAGGCTGAAGCCAAAAATGAGGAATTTGAGAGTCAAGCAGAGGAGAAGCATAACCTAAAATATATGCTAGTTTACCCAAAGGCTAAGGAAAAAATTAATGGCTTCTTGGTAATGGGTGGTGTCTCTTACAGTGAAAATGAAAGACTCAATTTGTTCTTTTCTTGTTGGTTACGTTTCATTTTTCAGTTTCCGGGTCCGTCCAGTTATGTAAGATATTTATTAAAGTTTGAGTTGTCTTGGTGAAATAATAAGTTCCAGACTCTACTCTCTGTTTTTATTTTCTCGTCAAGTCTCATTGTTCAAGTGTTTCACAAATCAAAACCTCCTAGAAGGTTTTTTGGATGAGATCATAGCAAGTTTATAGTGGGAGCTATTGATAGTGGCCCAACAACAACAAGGAACAGACACACGAGAATTGAAGGAACAAACAAAATGGAAGAAGATGTTTTTCTCGATTGGAGGAAGAAAAGCGAGTAACCGAATAGGTGGAAAGTATGCGAATAATCTTAGCTTTTAAAGAAACTTTTTGCTCTGGAAAGGTGTGTTTTTGCCGGCTTAGTCTCCCTTATCTCATTCGGGATCTATCTTATGTTCTCGGACGTTGTATCTTTGCTCAACAGGCCCGGAAGCATCCCGACAAGGGACCAGTTCGTTGTAAAGAAGCTCTTAATTGGTTTCTTGATGAAGAAGTAAAGGAAGAAAATAAAGCAAGCGATGGGAATGCATATCAAAGCCATTAGAGAATATTTTTAGTGTACACTTTAATTGTTTACACACTCTTGAGCTAAGCATCATTTATACACACGCACACACACTATAAACCACTTGTAACGCTTTTATGGTACCGACAGTCACAATCGCACAGCTTTTGAGTGACTCTATCATGCGAATGCACAATTAGCTAAACGTCTAGATGTTAAACTGCAACGAATGGATGGAAAGAACAATTAAGGGAGTGTGCATTGTTTTACTAAATTTACATAACCGTATAGGTCCTTCTGCTTTCACATAAAATGACAAAAGAGTTGTTAAAAATGATAGCTTGGGCAGTTCAAGTAGGGTTCATGCTATGTTTGATGCAAAAGTATATCCAAGAATGTGTATTGATCTGAACTGCCCACATAATAAGAGAGGGAGATATTCTCTATGACAATGCAACACAGGTACAAGAATCATAAACGACATCTGTAATGATAAATATAAAAAGAGAATCATAAACGACATCTGTAATGATAAATATAAAAAGAGAGTCTCATAAATTTATCAAATTATCTTAATCAAGAGACCCTTTTTTTCCCCTTCTTTTTCTTATATTTATTTAGTTTTCGACTTGGAAATTTAGATTCTGAAAGAAACAAATACGTTTTTCATTTTTAAGTTTCTTGTATATAAAATATAACTTTCACTTAACCGATTTTTTTAATAGATTGAATGATTAATAAATTTGGAACTAACATTTCAAAAATAAAAATACATTGTTTTAAAAAAATTTGGATGTAGCTTTTGTTAATATATGAAACAAAAGGCTTGACATGAGTTATCAAATTCTTTTGTCCATAATTATATGTTATTTTATGATTGTGTACATAAATATAAATATATTTTAAATAAATTCGAGATGTAAACTAGAATTATAATTTATAAGGTTAAGTATACTTGTAAAATCTCACTAAACAAGATACATAGAGTCTGTTTAACGCCGCCCTCTAGGACCCTAATCTCCATGCTAAATGGGCCAACATATTATAGAATGGGCTTTGAATATTAAAAACTAACGTACTTTCCATATTTCTCAGAAGAAAGTCAATTCAACAACAATTTCGAGTTTTTGGAAAAAAATTCATTTTCCCGCGTGCAAAAGAAAAACCACACCGCCTAAAACAAAAAAATGATTAATCCCGCCGTGTTCCTCACCTATAACCCCATTTCTTCCCCCCCGTCACAAAAAAATCTCCACCACCACCACATCTCTCCGCCGCTTCTTCATTTCTCTTACAAAGATAATCCCCGATGGAAAACTCCAGATCTAGATCCATCTTCCTCGACATCGGACTAAGAGAGCTCAACGGATTCCGAGGTAACAAAAACTCCACACGCGTTTGTGGTGTTTAGATCTGACGAGTCAGCTTCTCCTGATTGTACTGATTAAATATCTTTTTGAATTGGTTTTTTAAGGGAGGAAGCGACCGTTCTTCGCGGATTCCGAGCTGGTTTGCAGAGAAATCGCTGGTGTTGCTGTGGAACACGACGGTTATCGGACTCCTCCATTAGCCGTCTCCTTCTGTAAGGTATGGTGGCCACGTGGATCCAGTTTAATTGAATCTCCTGGTTTTGTTAAGCATTTAGTGAAATCTCAGATCCAATAATGTTGGTTTCGTGATTGGGATTAACGGTTATTTGTTTGTTGAATCGTATAGAGTAGTAAAAATTCACGAATATTCGCGGTGTCTGATGAGGATGGACATGTGAGCTTGTTTAATTCGAATCATAAGTTTGCTTCTTCTGTAACTCACCAAGAGAATACAGGTCTCATCTCCTTCCCGTTGATAATAGCCCTAATTTTTTTTTGTTTTTTGTTTTCTGGGGTTTAATACAATACTGAGTTGTGTTTGTTTCAAATGGAATATTGTGTGTAGGTAATGCTAGGCTTCGTGACTGGATTGCTCATAATAATGCAGTCTTCGACGTTTCTTGGATTAAGGTTCGCTATTTGCTTGGCATTGAACTATATATTATACGTTTAATTTAGTGATTCTGTTCTGGATTTGATGTGGACATATCTCAAATTTATCGCAGGATGATAATTGTCTTCTGACTGCTTCTGGTGATCAAACTGTAAGTTGTAGCTCAATATTTAAATTTAGGTGAATTAGTTTGTGAGAACAACGTTGTGACGTTTACGATTTTCTATTAATGTTGGTGCAGATTAAAGTATGGGATGTTGAGAAGAATAAGTGTACTGGAGTACTTATAGGACATACAGGAACTGTGAAATCAATGTGTTCACATCCAACAAACTCTGGTTTGTTCCTTGAAAAAAATTCTCTTTTTGATTTACTAGTTGGTGTTTTCAGTCAAGATAGCTAAAGACTCTTTCTGTTTGTAGATCTTCTTGTCTCTGGTTCGAGAGACGGATGTTTTGCGCTATGGGATTTGAGGTGTAAAAGTACTTCCCACAAAGAAGAGTTTTGCATCAGGTAAGTCCTTTCTTAACTTAGTTGTAACTATCTTTTTCTGTCTTCTTTAAAACCATATTGATTGTTGTTCTTGCCTTCAAACAGCTCTACTGGCATGGTTAAAGGAGCTCATCTATCTCCTCTTTCAAGACGAATTGGACGTCACAAGGTTCTTTCTCCTGCTCCTTTTGTGTTGCTCTTCCCTGCTAACTATCATTCCTTCTCCGCTAATGGCTTCATGTTTTCAGGCTGCCTCATCAAGCATTACCTCTGTGCTTTATCTCAAGGACGAGGTCACAATTGCCACTGCTGGAGCACCAGATAGGTACTTGCACATCGTTAATTAGGTTAATGCAAATTGTATTGCAGAATGCAGAGCTTATAGTAATGTTGTTTACATTTTTTGCTTTTTTACCGTTCTCTCAGCGCCTTGAAATTTTGGGATACAAGAAAGCTGAAAGTTCCCCTTGCTCAAGCATCTCCACAATCAGACCAAACAAACACTAAGGTAAGCTAAGCTTCCTATTCAGAGACTCAGAACATATCACTATGTTATATCTGAATGGTTTCGATGTGAATAAAGCACTTAAGGGTTCAAAGTTATACTGTAATAATCTAAACCCTGGTTCTTATTTTCTTATTGGTGGCTTCAGGAAAAGAGAGCACATGGTATAGTATCCCTGTCACAAGACTCAAGTGGAACCTTACTTACAGCATCATGCAAGGACAACAGGTTTGTTTTTTCAATATGTTCACACTCATAACTTTAAGTAGTGATTGCCCTGCACTATGAGAAATTCCAACTCTAACCAAATCTCCTTTTCAATCCCTGTTGCAGAATCTACCTATACAACATACTACAGCTTGACAAAGGACCTGTACAATCTTTCTCTGGTTGCCGAATAGATTCTTTTTTCATTAGGGTAATAACTCCTTGTCCACAATTCGCCCTTCAATCACACACTTGATTTGCTTTCTAACATTTTTCACACCCTCATTTATCTCTGAAATCTTGCTCTGCAGACAATGATTAGTCCTGATGGTGAACACATTTTGAGCGGTTCAAGCGACCGTAACGCTTACATATGGCAGGTTTGAATTCTCTGTCACATTTTCTTTTATAAATCAATTATTCAAGGGTTACCAATGCTTAAAGAACAGCAACAATTTCAGGTGAATAAGCCTCACGTAGATCCTATTGTCTTGAAAGGCCATGACAATGAAGTAACTGCTGTAGATTGGTAAGTCCACTTCACCGAGCCTTTTTCTATTTCTCGTTGAATCCAACTTTCCGTCAAGTAGATTCGATAGTAATAATTAAATCTCTTTTGCAGGTCTTCAACAGAGATCGGGAAGGTAGTAACAGCTTCAGATGACTTCACGGTAATAAAATCAATTCATCACATGTTTTTTTCTTTTTTTTTAAAAACTAATGATTTATAGTGTATTGTCTTACCTTTTGTCCCATTACTGAATTTCACGTCTGTTCATGCTTAGGTACGACTGTGGAATATAGAGATCAACCGGTGCTCAAATGCAAACGCAACATCATCTGCGTCTAGAGTTAAACGAAGTGTAACCTCATTGTCAAATACTGAATCCGAAGAAAGAGAAAGAGTTGAGACGAACAAAGAACCTGAGAGTCCTCAAAAACATTCATCAAATAATCAATCTATGCCTATCATCAGAACTCCAGAGGCTCAGATGAAGAAAACATCTTTATCATCATCATCAACATTGTCATTATCATCATTAGAAGAAGATAACATGTGTGACAAAACACCAGAAACCGTGGTCAACAGTCCAGCATCAGTCCTAAACCTTCCTTCCTCTGTCAAAAGGCGAACAATTAGAGATTATTTCCTTGTCACTCCCTAACCATTCATCTCTTTTTCCAAAGATTGTTATTATTATTGTACAGAAATATGTAAGATTTTATTAGATTCAGGTTGTATCTGAAAATTTTGGATAAAGTGAACCATAAGCGAACTGTTATCACTAACAATTCTTAATGATTACCAGAACATAAACGTTTTATTTTAAGCTATAATTTTAAATATTATCAAACTATTATTAACAAATAACACTAAGTTACGTTTAGCTTCTTCTCTATATTACTTTAAGCAAAACAAAAGAAAAGATGGAATGAAAATATTGGATTGTAAATAAGATTAGACACCACTAGATTGGATTCGATGTATTATGTATATAATATTTTGTATAAAAAGAAAGATGTGCTTTTGTTGAATAAAATTTGATCAAATAATTGTGCATATCTTCTAATGATTGTTGTGGGCACATCCATACTAACACCTGACTTTGCAATAATTCCGTCGACATTTTTCCGCATTATACATATTGCTTCAACAACTAATTCACAAAGTCCAACGTTTACTAAATCATAAGTACAACAATTGATAAGATTCATTTGGAGGATTTGATCGATCATATCTTATAACAACTAAAATAGTTTCATTATGATTAGTTTTCTTAATATCAAGAATTAAATCTATGTTCATGAATTTAAGCTACTGATAGCTTTGGAATTTTTCATCTCAGGCAATTAAAAGTAGTACCAATTATTTCTTTTGTTATACTTTTATAACATACAAACATTAACCATTTAGTAAGTTTTCTTATACATAGAATTAGTATTCACTTACTAGATTACAAGCTTATTTCTTGCTTAAGAGGAAAACAAGAAAATTTGTTATCCCAATTATTCAGTTGACAACCAAAGCTTACCGACTTCTAAGTGCATGCATATATGTATACATTGTACACATAAGAAATTGATTTTCTTTTCTACTAGATTATGCACCAATGTTTATTATATGCATGCGTATTCAAGTGCCTTCAGTTTTTGGATCTTAATGGGGCTTTGTCTCTTCCTTTTTCCGCTTTTTTCTTCTAATTTCATATTACATTCTTGTTGAAAGTTTTGATATTATATGCATACATTTATATTCTGAAAATTAATCAGCATATTAAATACGTAAAGTACCGTTACAAAAGAAGAAAGTTTACGCAAAGCAATGCTTGCCAATGATTGACTATCTCATCTAATCATTGGTATAATCTACGCACATGCTACCAAATATTGCACTCGTAGAAATTGGTGTACAAGTTTTTTTACTGAAAATTGGTATATATGTTCGTGGAAACAATAATGCATTGGTATGCATCTAATCATAGGTTAAAAAGCATACGTACCAACTACTAAGTTTGACTTTAATGAATCGACGAACTATTTTCGCCACAGAACTATCAAAGCCCTTTTGTCAAAAAAAAAACTATCATATATCATCTAAATCCTTATTACATAAACAAGTACATCAAATAGTTTTTATATATGTAAATATGCGGAAATACTGATTTCACAACTAATATAAGTAAATAAAAAGTTTGTTGACAGAAATCTTGATTTTCTCTATTGCATATTTCAGATAATGTATTAAATAAAATATGCTACGTACAAGTTTTGGTATTAAAGCATGTGGCTCAACCATCAGGGTATCCACAGTTTGAATGTAACACAAGAGTTAATTAATTAAGTAAAATTCCAAAAGGTATTAATTATTTTTCAGAGGGATGAACAGGAAAATAGTGAGAGTTTTTATGTTAATAGTTAAATTCAATCAAAGAAAATGACAGTACACATGTTGGATTTTTTCAGATCTTCAATAGTTCTGATGTCTAGTGAGAGGTTTTATGTTAATAGTTAACTTAATATCCCAAAACCTTCTGACATTAATTAAACTTAAAACAATATACAATTAAGAAGTGGACCAAAGACTTCACAAACATATTATTATTTTACTGAATATCAAACCTTGTGAAAAGGCCAAAGGTAAACTAAACATTTGTAGGCGATTAAGCCTGGAGTTGAACATCTACAATGGTCGGAAAGCTATATTCAAGTTTGGTTCCGGACTAAAGCATCACATTACGAAAGCCACCAGATTATGCTTTATCATTGTTAGAAATTAGTTTGCAAATTTAGGTTTATCATAGGACTTCCATATTTCTCAAGCATCTAAATCAGATATTAAAATAGGAGAATATAAAATAGTCCATATTTTGAAAAAGTTGGGATACATTGCTAATAGATTCTCTTCTAAGTTTGCGATTTACACAAAAGAATAATTTGCTTCAAATTTAAGTTGCTAAAAATTTAAAATTACTGAAAGGCTACCAGATGGAGTAAATTTTCTATGGTTAGGAGTTATTCCTTGTAAGTTCACTATTTTAAGGTTCTAAATTAATTGAGGCTAATTTGTCTTTTTGCAATCTCATTATATTCATCTTCTTTCTCACTCATAGCACCAAAATACCTTTTGCCCGCTCTCTCTCTCTCTCTCTCCCTAATCTCTGTCTCTTCTTTATCTCTCCAACTTTCCCCTTAGAGACTCCTCTTTGCCTCTAACTAGGGTTTCTCTCTTAAAATACAAAAAAAAACCAATAATTGAAGATTTTCTTGAGGATTTTCCATCTCTTCTTCCTATCATATATAAGAAGAGAGAAACAAGGAAGATCAAACCGTTCTGATTAGTTATCAAGGAGGCAATTGAAAGGTAAGAGCAAAAGTGTTTCATTCTACTTAGCCAATTTACACACACACTTGCATAATATGTATCATACTTTATGTTGATTTCTTATGTAATATTAGAGACTTTAGAATCTTTAGATCATGAAGATTTGATCACTGATCTGAACCTCCAAGATATTATTGGAAGTCCTTTATTTTACAAATTTAAAAGTTATAGCTGGATGTGCAATCCAAGTATCATGACCACTTCTATTTGTTGAAGATACCATACTGATCACTAACCTTTGAGTATATAATTGAGCCGTTTAGTGAGTTTATATATATATAAGGAATTATACAAATATTTGGTGTATAATCTCAGAGTCAGGGAGACAGAAAGTTTTGTAAGGATAAAATCAGAAAAGATGCTATTAAACGCCAAGAGCAGAAATGTACGGTCAAGAGTAATTGAGTAAAGATTGATAGGAAAAAAATATCAAATGATTATAAGGGAATATCTAGGATATATGTTTCTATTTGCCTGAGATATAGTTAAGTAAAAGAGGTAACCAATTTTAGGGAGGAAAAATACTAAGAACATCATGTCTTGCAACCAAATATATTGATGATGAGACTATTATCTATATATATGCCTTTGTTGCTAAGATTAATGCGCGGATAAAAGGGCTAAAGTACATCTTGTGCCTTATTATCGATCGTGTTGATAATAACGACCATTGTTGCTAGTTACCAACACAAAATGGAAAACAACATTTCTAAACTGTACCAATGTTTAAAATGTGTCCCGGTGTACGTAGACACATATACATATTGTGTAAAGGGTAGAAGTATGCAACGAGGAGATTTTAAACATTTTGCATTATCTATGTGGATCAAGAGTTATATAAATCTTATAATTCTAAAAAACTCTAAATGTGATTACATCGTTTTTTTTTGTTTTCGTTTCCACAACTTAATATCAGGGGAACTATAACAAAAAAGATGTCGTCATCGTATTCCAACTATACAAACTCACCGTGCGCTGCATGCAAGTTCCTCCGACGGAAATGCACTTCAGACTGCGTATTCGCACCGTATTTTCCGCCAGAGGAACCTACAAAGTTTGCTAACGTCCACCGGATATTTGGTGCAAGCAACGTCAGCAAGATCCTTCAGGAGGTGGCGCCACACCAACGAGAAGACGCAGTGAACTCGCTTGCTTACGAGGCGGAAGCAAGGCTAAGAGATCCAGTTTATGGTTGCGTTGGAGCCATCTCGGTGCTCCAAAGACAGGTCTTGGGGCTGCAAAGGGAGCTTGAGGAGACTAATGCTGATATCATGAGGTACGCTAGTAGCCTTGGTGGTGAATCGACGTCTGTTTATAGAGGACGGAGAGGTTAAATAGTCATCATCATCACTCTTTGAGAGAGTTAGCGGTGGAGAACTTAAAAGAGAGAGGCGGTGTATGAATGGGTGATGGGGACAATCCATGCATGTATGTGTGTAATTTAAATTCTATTTTCTTTTACATGGGAGGTCAAAGGATATTTGTGAATATTTAGCAAATATAGTAATGGATATATGTGGTTGTCTTTGCTTAATCATAACGTTCAATAATTTGAACTATATTACTAATAGTCTACCACACATGAATTCAATTTTTTTCTTTTAAAAAACTCTTCTGTTATTAATCTTCTCAATATACAACTTGGATCAGGAGAGAACAGTAAGTAGAAAGAGAAACTTTTGAAATGAACTCAATCTTGAAACTATGGATTCATCTGGACCTCAAAATGCTTTGCTAAAATGTGCTACCTAAATTTTACCAAAAGAATTTCAACCAACTTAAATAATCACATTGTTAGAATGATAGGACATAAGGATGTGCGTATACTCCCGTTTAGACACATATTTCATTGATCAATGAATAGCAATATTAATATTGAATTATGATATGTAGTTTATTGTGTCGACAGTTTTGAATAAACACATAAGAAAGTTGGCTAATAATTGGTTGTTTGATATTCCACACTCGTCACTAGTAAGAAACATCATTTTGCTAATATTTTAATTAAGTCGAGTGATTTAAAATATATTGTCGACATAAGAAAAAAAGTTTAAATAAATAATCAAATTGCTGAAAGCATCAAGTAGTCCATTTGTTTAGGCACATGTCTTCATAGGGAATCTCTTTTTTAAAGTCGCTCCAATTTTATTTCATGTCATTTGGCGGCGACCTAACAACCAATTATATTCATATACAAATTAACTCACCAACTACCAGCTCTTTAGTTTTCTTTTTCCTTTCCCATAATTAGGATTAATGATCATCTATTTTACAAAAAAAATACTACTATTGTAGAAATACTTTCTAATTATTTAATCAATTCCAGTTTGTTTGAATGACCTTGAAAACGAACCATTAAAATTTTTTGTAAGGTGAGTGGTTTTCAGATGCTACAATTTATGAAAATGTTTTGAGTGGTTTAAATACCCCATCCGACTTCACTATTTTTCTCTCTTGTTTTAAGGTTCTTAAAACAACACTAGCTAGTGTTAAAAATAAAGTGAAAATTAAGATGTTTCTCAATTTTTCAAACGGCAATGAACTGTCTTCATGATTTACCTCTTACAGCTTTATCAATTGGTTGCATAGACCCAGTCCAAACTTAACCGTTGCGCAAAGAAAGAGAGAGCAATTAGACGCATCATCATGTCTATTATGCTTCAATACTCCTTACATCACTTCTACTTAGAACAAGAGAATTTTAAAAGGATCTATGACGCATCACTATGCTTCAATACTTTTTACATCACTTGTTCTTGATTGTAGTGAGGGTGTATATTATTCACATGTTTATGAGTTTATATAATAATATGTATATGTTGACTTCTATACGTGGATGTACATGCATGTCGACTTTAAGACAAGGAGGATTCAAGATTGTGTTGAGACACAAGTCAGCTTCAGAAACAGTGACTAAAGGTACATCCATTTTCTGCTATCATCATTTCATTTTAACCTTTTATATACATCTTCTTTTATTACACTATCACTGTCTGCTGCAGAAAATATGATTGTTTTGCCATGTGATATATCATCTCATAGTGTATACATCTTTAGACTTTTCCTCAATTATTCCCTTCATCTCCTTCAAATCTCCCATGCAGTTTCTTGATGGTGATAATTACAAAATGATAACAGATCGTTTACATTTTGAGAAATAATCCACATCTTACAAACTCTCTTAAGGAAAAGAAAGCTACACTATTATTGTTTTTATCACTGGTTCTTTTTACAATTGAATTTTTTTTTATTCGAAAACTGGACTTGGTGACCATATCCAGCAAAACTATGTACTAATAATGTCTCTGTTCGGAGGAGAGGCTACTGCTTCAGTACGTGGGATGTAAGCCATATACCTAACTTCATATAAGTTAAACCAAGTTTGAAATTAATCTCATCACTAAGAAGGCAGGAAAACGTAAAATAAGCCAAACATGGGCCCAATTTGTGGACCAAGAGATAGTGAGGCAGAAGTTTGTCATCTCGTTATCAAGTAGCAGTGGACCACCACTAAACCGCCCAATAGCTTAGAAATGTCCAATAACAGAAATAAATGAAAAGCCTTGTTCCACGGACGACGTCGTTTTCAACAGCAATTGATTGATTCCATTTTTTTTTGAAACACGAATTCAATTATATCTTTCTTTTGTTTCTCTTTTTCGTTTTAGTCTTTTTAACTTTGAGGTATCCCAAACCTTCAGTGGAACTTCGACTAATCTCTAAATGAAAACTGTAATCCACATAGTTTCAAATGAAACATAAAGCATTGGCTCTGTATTTATATGGTCACATATGTTTAATTTAGTAGGATTGCTTCAAATCGGATAAATCCGCCTACTATTAGACCAACCTTGTCTATAGATAGACTTTTTCAGATTTTCAAATGAGATATAATAAGATATGGCTCTATATTCATGTGGTCATATATATCATTAGTATATTAGGGTTGTTTTAAGCCTGGATATAAATCTGCTAACTACTAAACTAACCCCGTGTGGTTTATTTTGTTTTGTTTTATCTTATGAGACAAATGTACTAACTAAAGCTGATGGACCACCACAGTGTGCTCGTGTTACAAAAGCGATCAACCGAATCTGGTCCAAGTTATGCAAAAACAAATTAATACTACGTGACATACAATTTGTGACATCACTAATGGTGTAAGTCTAGCTAAGAAAGTGACATTATTACTTATACATTAGGATTGTTAGTCAATACTTGCTTCCTGTCTACTGTTAAAAACTTTATAATAGTCCAACGACTAGACCACATGCAAGGGTCTTATAAAGTTGCTTTTGAGATTAAAACTGAAATAATTAAACAACAAAATAAATATATGTGAAATGATTTGGCACAACTGATTTTGAAACGATGTTGAAACCTGGTAATCATGCCACACCTCTCCTTCGCCACATTCTTACGTATTCTCTCTCTCTCTCTTCACTCCAAATCTTCTTTTACTACAAAATACTTTTGATTCTATTTATATATATGTTTAATTACAACACCAAACTCTTATGTCCTTTTTGTGTTGTCTATCTATTTTTTTACAAAAAAAAAGAAAAAGACTATTAAGCGGTATGGCGAACGTGGACAGGCGTGTGCATGTCGACCATACTGACAAACGAGCTTTTCTCGACTTCTTATATAAAGGCCAAGCCATACAAGCTTTGGTACAAATGGGTAGATATAACCCAATTACAGAAAAGCCCAATTAAAAGCTATTTTCTTTTTGATCAACTCCCAATTAAAAGCTAAAACAGAGGAAAGTCTAGTCAATAGTACTACAAATGCATCAGTAAAACATCACTTATTTGTATTTGTGCAATATCTTTTTTTTTTGTATTACATTTGGGAATGTCTAATTTCTAACCATATGACATGTTGGTCCTCTAGCAATCAACCATGTTTTTTCTTCGAACTTTGTTTCATATTGTATAATGTTCTTTTCTTTTTGCTGGACCACATCATATGATATATGCATTGCAAGATCAAACAAGTCACCAAGAAATCTTATTTTCCTCTTCTTGGCTTTCACAAAAATAAACTGCTCCTTTATATATATATATTTATTTTGCAGTATTTTGCACAATGCAGTTTCTTTGTTCTGAAACCTAGGTCACAATCAAAACATAATCATTGTCTACATCACAAGCCATCATACTTACGACCACTCTTGTGAAAGAAATATTAAGATTTTGCAAAAGAATTTAATTGTAAAATTTTTAATTGATTTCTTAATTTTTTTGGAGTTTTTCTTTATGTTTCCTATTTTATTTCTTATTAACTGCTTTTATTAATTAATTAAATAAAAAATATATTTTAAAAAACTAACACATCTTATTTGATGAACAAGTAATCGAGGTTGAAAATTTATATGATACAGAAACCAATTTTAAAATTTAATATAGTAGTTAATAAATTTATAACATTCGTGAATGGCACTTTAAAATTTTTTCATGTGATTATTCCTTTAATCAAATGCAAAACTGTCGTCAAATACCAAATTTTGTCTTCTTTGATTCTTATCTCTAATGTGAACACAATGTATAAACTCTAATCTGAAGCCTTAGATCATGTTTAGCACCAACAAAATAGCTTTGAAATCCATCTAGCATGTCTCTCAATAACTATATGAGAAACCATAATGAAAATCAATTAGAATATGTTCGAGTAGAAAACAATTTCATTTTTTTGAAAGATGTGTTTATGAGGTGAAATAGTATACCCACCATCTTCAACTTTTCCAGTGTAGCATCGAAAACTCCTAAGAATCACAACAAATTGGCCAAAATCATTGTCATAATAATTAATTTTCATTGAATTCAACACATTTGCATCTGTCTTATTGAACCATTGCTGAGACGATGCAGCCGTCATCCTTTTTCCGTAGAGTAAGATTATCAGATAATAACGTCCAATAGTGAAAATGTCACTAGCATCAACAATTAATTGAATCTTCTTAGTTGTCTTCCAAAATATTGGATGTTTAAGCACATCAGATGCATTAAAACTGCACAATGAAGATAATATACATTAGAGATTAACCTTGTTGAATGGATCCTGAATCAAACAAGAAACATGATGTCACCATAATTTAGTATTGGAATCCAGCTAACCGCTTATCAATTCCTTAATTTCTGGCAAATGATTTATTTCCGATAAACCTTGTTGGTTCTTATCAATTTCAACACAATTCTTCTCATATACAAAAGAATGAAAACCACCGGTGAGTGAAAAAAAGGATGCATCCAAAGATATTCATATCTATTGCATAAGTAACTGAATGATCGACCGTCCACCAACCTAAATTACTAAAATCAGAAACGAGTTTTGAAAATCTTTCCAAAGCATAATTACAAATACAATACAACCAAAATATATAATATACCAATTAATTCACTATGATCTCTTATATTAATTTTGTGTTAACGATTATTCAGTCTAATTTACTCGATTGAATATTACATGATATAAAATTTTCTAAGATTACAATGTTGCCATCCAAATGAGAAGATTTGGCAGTCAAAGTATCAATAACCAAAATATTTTCTAGATGTATGGTTGTATGAAC